TCTAACCGAGGAAGTTGGAAGAACGCCTGGCCTGCTAGATTTGTCTCAATTCCCCTCCCTTCCCCTTCTCCCTGCCCCCGTTGCAGCCGCCCTTGCCCCCGTTGCAGCCGTCTTGCCCGTCCATGCCCCCCCACCCCCGCGCCCCGCCCCTGATCCCAGGGGCTCGCCGCTACGGCGGGGAACCCGCGCAATACTAATTGAGAGTAACCGCGAAGCCATCTAAAGCTCAGTGAAGCTATCTAAGGCTAAGTGTTGACAAGAAACCAGAGCCGAAATTATTAACCAAACCTAATTGAACCTTTCGCCGCGCTATGTGGTTAACAACTGGATAGAACCAGGTGCGCCAACAAATATAAATCGGATCGCAAGCCTGGCACTTACATCGATTCAATTGGTATGTGAATTTTACTTATGACTGCTTCCGCCCCAGCTGCTCGGTTTATGAGTGCGCTTGCCAGACTTATAACTGCGCTTGCCGGACTTACAAGCATGCTTATATGTATGCTACGTGCGGCCGCGGCACCGGCCACCGGCACCGGCACCGGCACCGGCACCGGGGCAAGAATCGTTCATGCCTTGGGGCTCGCGCGCACCAGTGCTTCGGCACGGTGTGTTCTCGAGTTCGGCGCGCCCCAGTTTGCTCATGCAAAATGAAGAGAAAGAAGAAGAAGAAGCATAATAATAATAAGAAGAAGAAGAAGAGAAAACGCCGTAAACATATATTTGTGGCGTTCCATGCGGATTTCTTAGATCTGCGCTGGGCCCCCCTCCCTGGCGCGCGGAGCGCGCCAGGGGCGGCGCCTGAGAAGCCGTTGGGGGGGTGCCCGCGCGGATCCAAGAACTCCGCGCGGAGCACCAAAAGTTTCTAGTGTCGTAGAGCCGTCAGTTCGGACGGGAAGCTTACGCGTGGCCTCCGTGAGTATTGCAGCGGGCGTCCTGGGGAAGCGGCAGCCGAGCAGCTCAGGCGCACACGGCAGTGCCAGCTCCCCCGCTACAGGGGGGTCATAGAGCTGCGCCTCAGCCGTCCCCCCATGGTGCGCTGCCTGCCGCCCGTGTGGCCCTGCAGGAGGAGGCTGCCCAGCCTGCCCCGCCACCGCCGTGCTTGTCTCAGTCGACTGGGCAGGGGGGGGGCGGGGGGGGAGGATGTCGTGCTGTGCGCGTTCGGCTTGACGGCCGACGATCGCCCACGAGTGCAGGGGCTGGGTCGGGAAGCGGTCCAGCAAGCCTCTGCAGGGTCGGGCGCCGACTTTGAAGGAAAGTCTGACCACGGAGGCTTCGTGTAAGCCTTTTTTGTTTGCCCCCCAGGGCCAACCCAAGCCAGACCTCCGCCGTCTCCTCCTTTCGACTGCGCAGTGGCGCACGCATTGGTATCCCGCATGCAGATTTACAGCCTGCGGCTCCCACGGCGCCCGCCTGCTATCGCGCGCAATCCTGTGAAGAGCGCTTGCTTCCGATCGGTGCTGGGGGCCTCTCTGATGCCGCCCACCTCTCGCGGCTGCCCCTGGCCGCCCGAGCGCGCCGCTGAGCGAGCGCTCTGAGCGGCACGCCTGGCGCGCCCTGGGGGGAGTGCTGCAGGGCTGTGTCGATGGAGCTCGCGTGCAGTCGCGCGCACACTCGGACACCGCGGGGTCGGCACGGAAGGACTCACGGTGACAGTGATCGCGCAGGTGTTGGCAAGCCCTTGCCAGAGACCATTTCTTATCCACCCAAGGGATAGCACATGTCACTCCCCCTGCCCCCCCCCCCTCGCAACAGCAACGCTCCTGCCCAGTCCAGTGCGCGATCCCAGGCAACCCAGGGCCTGTGCGCACGCGGGCACTACTGGTGCCGCGGTGCACGCGGGCGTGCCCTATGGTGTACGCAGGCACTGCGATGTACACCGGCGTTGGGGCGCACACAATTGTCGTTGCAGCAGCAGCTGTGGTGTACATAGGCATAGTGGGTGTACGCAAGCATTGCGGTGTACACATCACAAGCCCTGTGGTGTACACAGGCGCCGTGATGTACACAATCGCTGTAGTGCCTAAAGTCGACGTGATGTAAGCGTGCATTGTGGGCTATGATGTACCCACGCAGCTCTTCCTACTTCGTCCTCCTCCTCCTCCTCCCTCTTCATTTCCGTCCTCGTCGTCGCCCTCCTTGCGCATACAGGACGCGGGCATTGTGGCGTACACAAGCATTGTGGTGCACGAAGGCCTTGTGGTGCACACAGGCGTTGTGTTTTACGTTCGCTGTGGGCTCAAAATGTCCAAGCGCTCCTCGGGCCAGAAAAACAATAATCACAATCAGATCACATACAGAATATGAAACATTCGTGCCCCAAACGATTTCCCAGACTTTGGCTCCGTCGCGGCCGTAGAGGTGTACATAAGCTTCGTGGTAAACGCAGGTACTGAGGTGCACGAGTGGGGGTGCTGAAACAGCAGCTATGGTGTCAATAATCACAGGCGTTGCGGTGCAGATGGTAACTGTGGTGTGCACAGGCATTGCGGTGTATATAGCCGTTTAGCCGTTCACATGCAGACAAGTATTGCTGACACCATGGCTCCCAAAGTGGGGGCTGGCGGGAGTTGACGAGTCGATTGCGAGGCCAGTCGTTGCCGCGTCGGCGCGGCCAGGGGCTGGCTGGAAGCCTCCAAGCCGCTCCGCGCGCCCCCAAGCTGCGTGGTGTTCACCGGCGCCGTGGTACGCGCAGTTGCCATGACGTGCACAGTTGCTACGGCGTGCACATTCGTTGTGGGCCCAAAATATCCGAGCGTTCCTTGGGCCAGAAAAGCAGAAATCACAGTCAACTCACATATTGAATTTGATACGTTCGGGCTCCCATCGATTTTCCCGAGCTTGGCTGCGTCGGTACCTGCAGATGTACACAAGCTTTGTGGTGTACGCAGGCACTGTGGTGCACAGGGTGTGTGCTGAAACAGCAGCTGTGTTGCACACAGTCAGGCGGCTCGGTGTGCACAAGCAGTGTGAGGCGCTGTGGTGCACACGGTTGTTATGGTGTATACAGTCGCCGTGGTGCACACATACCATGTCTGCAGCAGTTCTGGTGCACAAAGGCATTGTGGTGTACAGAGCCCGTGTTGTGTGCACAGGCACTGTGGGCTTGGACGACGACGACGACGACGACGACGACGACGCAGGCGGGGCGCCTCGGGGGGTGCGCGCCGCGGCCCCCGTTACCGTTCCCTCCCCCACCCCCCGGCTTCGAGAGGCCCTCGAGGCCCGTTTTGGGTCTGCCTTGGCTCTTCAAGAAACCTTCCTGGAGTCATCTTCGGCGGAAGAGCTGCATTGAACCACAATGAGTTTGGGTACCCATGGCTCTGGAACCTGTTAGAGGGCTCCCTGAAGGGCCTCTCGGGGGTCTCCCAGCGCCTCTCGGGGGCATCTTGTGGTCAGGTCTCTTGGGGCCCCTCGGAGGATTTCTGGGAGTGCCGCGCAGGGACTTTGGCGCTGGTGCGGTCTGCATGGCTCTTGCGATCGTGCGTTCCCTCTCCTCGACAGCACGGTCAGAACAGGCGTGGGCGCAAATGCGTTCACCGCACGACCCTCACACACCTCACAACGGGCACAGCACATCTCATACCTACATGCGTCGTACCAGAGACGCATGCGTTCTCAATCACAGCGCCACGCATGCATGTCGTACGTTCACTGGCACTTCTTGCAGCATCGAGCTTGCCCGCAAGGGACTTGGATGGGCCATGGTTTCCACCGAGCCGGGCGTGAAACCAAGGCACGGGGAGCCAGCGCTCACACGGATTGGTAGGCGAACGTAGACGACGCATGGTGGGCAAGCAGACCAGCCACTCGCCAGGGGGTCATGGGCACGCCAAGTCCAGAACAAAAAAAACACGCGACGCAAAGGCAGCGTCGTCGAGGGTAAACACGCAGACTGCTCATGCGATCTTGTGCAAGCGACAAAGTGGGGCGGAACAAATTCAGGGGCCCTTCGTGACCAAGCTGTGAATCATACAGGCAACGACCACCGCAAGCAACGAAGCCCATACCTTACCCGCACCTTTAGAGCAGCCCACGAGACGGAACGCCCAGCGACCGCAATGCCCACATCGTGGAAACATTTTTGAGGTCAAAACATGTGGACCACGAGCCGCCAAACTCAGGCGGGGCGGAGGGTTCGCACGCAGGCGCACTGATTGTCTGCAGTCTTGCTGGTCTCGGCGGCAGCTCGGGATGTGCGATGGTCCGCGTCAGCAGCAAGAGATCGGTCTGCCGTTATGTTGGCCTCTTCGCGGCCCCGGGAGAGCCCAAACGGATCCCCCTCCTGGAAGCACACCCCAGTTTGGGTTCGCTTGGCTGCAGACTTCCTTCGATTTCAATTTTAACAGGCTTTTCAGAAATATGACCTGTAGGGATAGGGTTCGCATGGTGTTTCTTGTATCATCCCTCCCGCCTTCATAGCCAGGGTTTGTCCTAATCGGGCTCCCATGTCTCGAGAGCTCGTCGTGCGCCACAAACCGTGTCTCTAGCTTGTCGTCGTGGGCTCCCCTGTCTCTACCTCGTCCTGGTGGCGGACCCGCTTCAGAGAGGGGTGCACAATCCCCAAACAAAATCATGACGGGAGGTTTTTGTTATTGTTCGGCCTCCATGGCCTTTCAGACCCTGGGGCCGTCAACAAAAACGATGCAAGTTGATAACGAGTCCGGGTTCCGTAGCCGTTTTGGCTCAAGAGGGTGTTGGTGTTGGTATCGAATTGATTGTTCCTTGGCCGCGTTGCAATGAGCAGGGATCCCCTGGGAAGGGGCGCATCTTTTTGTCACCTTGCGGACGCATGCGTAGACCAGATTCTGAATTACTTCGACGGCAAAGGGTTCCTTCTTACGTTTGCGAGTCTGCACGGGCTCTCGCGTAGAAGTAGACGCATTGCGGATGCAGCGTTTTGCATGCGGCGGGCGGTAACTGTCGGTTGGTGCAGCCTCTTGACAGACGCAGTTATAGCAAAATTTGCGCGCTGCGCCGCCGTGCAATCCGTCAACTTCATGTTCTGTGGCAAGCTGACGGACACGGCCGCGGAACACCTGCCGCGGTGCGCCGCTTTGCAATCCGTCGACTTCGCGTGGTGTGGCAAGCTGACAGACAGGTCCGCGGAACACCTGGCGCAGGGCGCCGCTTTGTAATCCGTTAACTTCACGGTGTGCTTCGAGCTGACGGTCAGGGCCGCGGAGCACCTGGCGCGCTGCGCCGCTTTGCAATCCGTCACGTTCCCGGGGTGTGGCAAGCTGACGGATAGGGCCGCGGAACACCTCGCGCAGTGCGCCACTTTGCAAGCCGTCAATTTCGAGGGATGTCGCAAGCTGACAGCCAGGGCGGCGGAGCACTTGGCGCGCCGCGCCGCTTTGCAATCTGTCAAATTCGTGGCGGTGCGCCGCTCTGCAATCCGTCCACTTCATTACATGTCACAAGCTGACGGACAGGGCCGCAGAACACCTGGCGCAGCGCGCCGCTTTGCAATCCGTCAATTTCGAGGGATGTCGCAAGTTGACAGACAGGGCCGCGGAACACCTGGCGCGGTGCGCCGCAATCCGTCAACTTCATGTTGTGTGTCAAGCTGACGGACACGGCCGCTGAACACCTGGCGCGGTGCGCCGATTTGCAATCCATCACATTCGCGGGGTGTGGCAAGTTGACGGACAGGGCCGCGGAACACCTCGCGCAGTGCGCCGCTTTGCAAGCCGTCATCTTCATGTGGTGCGGCGGGCTGACAGACAGGACCGCGGAGCATTTGGCGCGCCGCGCCGCTTTGCAATCCATCGGCTTCAGGGGGTGTGACGAGCTGACGGACAGGGCCGCGGAACATCTGGCGCGGTGCGCCGCTTTGCAATCCGTCAACTTCGAGGGGTGTGGCCGTCTGACGGACAGGGCCGCGGAACACCTGGCGCGGTGCGCCGCTTTGCAATCCGTCGGCTTCACGGGGTGTGTCAAGCTGACGGACAGGGCCGCGGAATACCTGGCGCGGTGCGCCGCTTTGCAATCCGTCAATTTCATCGAGTGCTACAAGGTGACGGACAGGGCCGCGGAGCACCTGGCGCGCTGCACTCTTGCGCTGCAAGGTCCACATGGCTTGAGCGCGCGCTGGGGTACAGCTTGGCACTGCGTGAGGTCTGGGGCCCAGGGCGCTGCCCGGGCAGGTGAGGTTGTCGGCCGGTGCGCCACGAAAAATGAAAGTTCAGACATTTGGAGACCCACGTTGTGAAAACCCCCATGACCCCCATGACGTCGGGGGTCTGGATTCCCAGGTTTGGCGACAGGGCGGGGGGGAAAGGGTTACGAAAGCGTCTGCGCGCAGCCAGGTTCGGCCCTGCCGCCGGGCGCTTTCCTCGGTACATGCCGCGTCTGGCGCACAGGGAGGCGTCGAGCACCATGAGCCGAATCGCTACCCCCCCCGTTGTTATTCTCCCCTTGTCGTCCGCCTGGGTGTTCATCATCCGCAAGGCTGCTATCCGACCTCTGGCTCACATGTGCCACATCCGCCCCCCGCACAGGACGCACTCTGGGTCCCAGTGGCGCCATGGCCTGTCCTGCTTTGCCCCGTCCTCCCCCGCCGTCAACGTCGACGAAGACCTTGACGCCTTCACTTGGGAGGTCTTTGGGCGCTTCTGGAGGTTATATCGTCCCCACAGCTGGACTCGGCTCGAAGAACTGGCCAGGATGGATCCCAAGAGGTCCAGGTCCGCGGGCCGATTTGGGGCACTTTTCGGGAATCGCCGTGAGGAGAAAGTAGGCCCCCAGGAAAAGGGATTCCGAGGTTTTCCCTCTTTTCGCCCTTTTCTCGGGGGCCTTCCTGGACCCTTCGTGGGCCGTCGAAAACCACTTCGGGATGTATGCAGAACAGGTCACCAGAAGAGCCCAGGGAGGTCCGGGACCCGTGTCATGCAGGACTCGCCTCCCTCATGCAAGTCGTAAGTCGGGCACGTCCCTCTACAGGAGGAATATTCAAAAGTAGTAAAACAAATAAGCTGGGGCCGATTGTTCGACTATTGTTGATTTTTACTTGACTATGTTTAATTTTTATTCCAAAATCCGCCTGTAGGAGGACATGCCCGACCTAATGCAAGCCTCGTCCACAGCCCGCGATGGGGCAGCTGGGCCTGCCTGGCGATGGGGGCAGTCGTGCGCGTCTCACCGTCTTCTGCCAGGGTTGCCTCCAGACACCCGACTATTTCTCGCGCTTCGCGAGGTGCACGTCCGGACCACGGAAAGGCCGGTCGTTGTGGGGACTCATGGGGGCCCCTGAGATCCTGACGTTGCAATCATTTCGCAACGGGCGTTTTCGGTCGATTTCGGGCCCCGGGCACTCACGGATCGATCTGGCTCGAAAATTGCTGCAGAAAGATGGTGTCCGGGGGTTTGGGCGTGATTTTATACAGTGTTGCAATATTTTCCAACGTCGGATCTCAGGGGCCTTTGGGGGGCATCTTGGGGTCGTCTTGTGGGGGCGCTTGTGTGACCTCTTGGGGGACTCTTTGGGGACTCTTGGGGCGTCTTGGGGCGTCTTTCGTCGCTCTTGCGCTGTCTGGCCCCTGCGGAAGCGGTCTTGGGGGCTTTTCGGAGCCGCCTCGGAACTCTCCGGGGGCCCTCATGGGCCGTCTTTAGGAGCTATTGGACCATCCTGCAGGCGGCTTCGGGCCATTTTGGGGTTCTCTTGTAACGTCTTGGAGCCTTTTGGGCTGTCTAGGGGCCATTTTGGAGGCTGCTTGGGTCGTAATGGGCCCCCAAGAGTTAAAAAATGCGACTACGCCCAAATCAGTCAAACAACAATGGAACATCATTGTTTTGTTTGCCTCTGGAGGCGCTCTTGGGGTCCCCTGGGGGCGCTCTGAGGCCGTCTTCGGGGCCTCTTGGGCCCTCTTGGGGCCATCTTGGAACGTCTTGGGGCCGTCTTGAACCGTCTTGAAGCCATCTTGAGGCGTCTTGAGGCCCTCTTGGACCCCTAGGAAGCCCAAGAGGCCAAACTCATTAATGTTCCGTTGGTTCTGGTAGGTTGTTAGGTGAGGTCGTAAAGTGGTCGGCGACTCGGCGGGGGCTTTGGCGGGGGATTAAAGGAGATTGGTTTGCAAAGGTTCATATGGCAATGTATCGCAATTGGGTTTCCTTGACGCATCGTGACGTGGCGCTGGCGTTACTCACCCGTCTTGTCGGACTGTCGAGACGCTGCGCTGCAGTCCAGACGTGGATTCCTCTCGCTTCGCGGGGTGCACGTCCAGAGCACGTGCAATCCAGTCGTTGTGGGGCATCATGGGGACCTCTTGGGAGCCTCTCGGAGGCCTCTTGGCCTCTTCAGGGCTTCTTGTGGCCTCTTGGGGGCCTCTTGGGCCGTCTTGGGGCGCTCTTGCTCCGTCTGAACTCTCCAGAAGCCGTTTTGGAGGTCTCTCCGGGCCGCTATGGGCTCTCCTGGGGTCCTCTTTGGGGCTGTTTGGGGGGCCTCTTGGGCAGACGCACTGCTCAGAGCACGGGAGAGTACAGGGAGTAGTTCGAGAAGCATTGCGGGAGCTGGCCAGTGAAACTGGACAGGGCTGCCGCAATTTGAAGTCAATGGCGAATGCGCAGTAATCTGCGTGCGTCCATGCAGGCGAGCAAACATTACTCGTTGGTCACGTTTTGGCTCCAGCACTCCAGGTCCCCGGCCTGTCAGCACTCCAGGTCCCCGGCATGTCCCGAAAGCATACGTTTATGCTCTCGCCAGCGTTGCCCATGCACCCATCATCTTCTGCTTCATCCTTTTGTGCGCCTTCCCTCTGTGATCCCTCCGACCTCTCATCCAGCTCCTCTTGAGCTTCTCCGCCTCTTCACCCCTCCTCCCATGTACCTTTGCTGTCTGCCATCCTTCCCTGTATTCTCCCATTGCCACGCCGGCTCCCCTCGTGCGGCTCGCCTAGGATCCTGACACCCTCATGAGCGTCAACGATATGGCGGGCCTATTCCAGTCGTCTGGCCAGTTCGTGGAGGCGGAGAGGTTGCTTATAAAGGCGCTGGCTGGGCGCAGGACTTCGTTTGCCAATTCGCAGGAGGATGCCTTATCGCAATCCTCCCGCAGACATCTTGACGAACGGAAGCACAGTCATGTGGTCACTGATTTGTCGCCCACGATGATCCTGCCCGTCGCACTGGTGATCGCAGTCCTGCGACGGCGAGGGCGGTGATGGTAACTACGGCGACTGCAGAATTGACGCTGGCAGCTACAGCGGCGATGATTCTGTCATTGACACGGCGATGATGACGATGACGACGACCATGATCACGACTACGGTGGGGGCGTTGGTTGAGGAATGCGCCCAGGATGCTGCAGACCCCGGAGGATTCCTTGTCTGATGAGGGCGGCGGCGATGTCCATGGCCAAGCCTCGATCGGCGTTCCACTGGCCTCCAGACCCTGGATTCCTTGTCTAAGGGTTCCTTGTCCAATGCCCCCACCGTACCAAGACAGTGCGCAGTGGCGATTCGGTGCGAGGCCCGATGGGCCCGCTCCGGAGACGGACGAGTTGATCAATCCGCACGTGCCTAATCAAAACAAGTTGGCGAGATGGGCACCGGCCGCCCACCCCCACACGCCAGCAGCGCGCGCATGCATAACTACAGGCGTCGGAAACAAGCAAGCAACACCCACGCGTAGCATGTGGTGTGAGCTCCCCCCCCCCGAAAGCAGTATTGGGCTCGGATCTCCTGGGCTTGAGTGTCGGGCCAGTGATGCGTGTACGTGCCAGCCTCGAACTGTGGGGAGGGGGGAATGGCTGCTTCATGTCTTCCCTCAACCGTATTTCCCCCCCACCACCCGTCGCGGCAGTGGGTCACAGGTGCCTGTGCCATTGCTGCGGGACGCGCTGTGCAGCAGCGAGCGCAAGAACCAGCCCTTTTGCGATTGCGCGAGAGAGCGTGTGCAAGCCCGGAGGTCCCCAGGCTACAAGAGTACACATTGTTTGTTTCTAATTCTTCGGCAGGTATTAAATGTTGGGGGGCCACGAGCCGTTCATTTCTAATTATTCTATCCTGGGCCTCTTCCTGGCCACTAGGGGGCCAGGAGCAATTAGAGACGAGCACACTTAGAAATGAGCACGATTAGAAATGAACGACGTGTACACCACACGGATGCGGCCAAGTCTTCCTCGGGGGCCGCCAAGAGGGGGGTGATGACTAGGGGTGGGTGGATATCATGGCGTGGGCCATGATGTGTCCTCAGTTGTCATGGCGCCCCTTCTTATCCCACGACGGGGCTGCGCACACGCCGCTGGCCACGATGTGCGCCCCCCGCTCTTGGACGCCCCCCTCTTGGCCGCCCCCGATCTTCTCAGGGCGCAGGCGCGGACCAGCGCCGGACCCCAGGCAGTCCTCGGGGAATGCCGGCCAAGCCTCCCAGAAAGGTCCCATCTTTCGCAGGGCGAGCGCGAGGCGCAGCACACACACACAGAGAAGCATGTGGCACATAAGGAATCACAGTGCAGGAACTACCTTTAAGTCGGGCGTGTTCCTCTATAGGAGACTAGTCAAAAATAGTCAAAAGATTGTCTGGGACGATTTTTTTGTATTTTTGATTATTTCTGGATATGTTTTGACTATTTTTTAGCTTTCGTCCGAAATCCCGCTGTAGGAGGACAGGCCCGACTTAAAAGCTACCTCCGAACAGATGGGAATCAACGCTCCAAGATCCGTCACAGCACACCTGAGAAATTGCAGAGAGCATGATTCTAGGTCTCCTAGATGGGGTCCGAGTAGATGGGGTCGGTGGATCGCGCCGCATCGCCGATGCATCGACGATGCGTCTCGATGCGTAACCCGATTTTCTCCACGACGACGTCGCCGATGCGTCGCCGACGTCGGCGATCCTCCGACCCCATGTACTCGGAGCCCACCTAGGAGGCCTCCAATTATGAGCCCGAGATCCTGATGGCGATTGTGAGCCCGCGGTTGCATGACAAAGACCAAACACCACGGTCCGGCTTGTAGCACAAAGACACACACATATACAAACACGCACACACACATACACACACACACACACACGCACACGCACACACACACACACTCTCTCACACACACACACACACGCACACACACACTCACACACACACACACACACGCGCATCACGCAGACACCGCCGTCCGTAGCCATTTGGCTCAAGGAGTCGGCTTGGCCCGGCAGAGGTCAAAGATCCCTGTCCTCTCGGGACGTCCGCGGCACCCCCAGTGAGCGCGGCGCCGCAGACCATAACCTCCGACAACGCGCGCTCGCGCCTGCGCGCGAGGAGCGAAGCCGCAGCCATGCGCTGCAGAGCAGTTTTTTTGCTGACGCTGGCTGGGCCACGGGCGGTGTGGGCTCAGAGTTATAAGTTCTGCACCGACGGCATTGCAGCTCCAGCGCTGAGGAGCGACGGCGGCATTCCGAGCGTCGACGTGATCTTGGCACAGGCGCCGCTTTTCTCGACGAACCCCCACATCGGGGACCTTGGGAAGTATTTCAGCGTGTTCCACACAGCCTTGGTGTTTGCGCAGGGCCAGGACGAGGGGCGCCGTTATTGGACTTTAGAATTTGACTTCACTGGTGCGAACATCCTGCAGGGAATCACGCCCGCGATCAATGGGACGACGCTCGCGTGGAGCAACGATGCGAGGTTCTGCCTCAGCGACGGCATCAAATGGGGGTTGAAGCACTGGGATCAGACTTATGAAACGGTTGCAAGAGTAACTGCAGACATGTGGACACGCACATTCAACGATTTGGTGCTTGCACGGAACCAGACGGAATACGACATGCCGCCTCAATATCAGTTGTGGCGCGTTGCCGAGGAGGATTGGTTTGGACGAACAGGCAAGGTCTTTATCGAGGACGTGACATGTAACAACGGCCCGATCTGGATCTTCGATTACATGCAGAGCAAGCTAAACATCACACTTCAGCCGAACTTCACGTTCCGGGGCACGCAGATCATAATCAACGCGCAGAGCGTAGAGGAGGTGAACGTCAGCGATCCTGTGCAATGGCAGGCCGTCGTCGAGTACTATCGGGGCATGACCGAGATGCTGAGCAGCAACGTGCGGAAGATTGGGGCGTTCCTCGGCGCTTTCCACCAGCGGTTTGTTTACGACACCAACGCGAAGAAGTACTACAGACTGCACGGCAGCTCGCCCAGATACCTCCGCGCGAGGTACGCGCCGTTTCCGCTCGCGCCCCCGCCGTGGGGCACTGCGCCTTCGCAGCTGGTTGCGTCCTCGCCAGCGGCAGGAGCGGGAGCCAGCCGTGCCATCCAGATCTGACGAGCGTTCAGGCCCGAAGCACGTGACGATCCACTTCTCTATATGCGTGGCCAAGCTTGCCAGGCGCCGTCGCGGGCGTCGGAGTTTTGCCTTCCTGTGTTTGCCCCCGGGGCAGTATGGAAGGGAGGCAGGCTAGTTTGATCAAATTTTCATGTTCGAGGCTGTGATGGGATGGGGGGGCAGAAGAGGAGGAGGAGGAGGAGGAGGAGGAGGGACAAGGAGGAAGGGGAGGAGGAGGAGGAGGGACTGTGCATAACCGATACCACCATCGGAGCCGGTTCGGTCATGGCGGGCTGGCAATACAGTACGGCTTCGGCACGCGTTAATGTTGGGTGGGAGTTCAGATTCCGATATTCTCAGAGGTTCCAGGAGTATCCTGGGAACGTGTCCGTAGCCGTAGTGCGGGCTCAGGTTCGCATTCCCGCGAAGTGTCTCTCTCGCTCCCGCCCGCCCACCGTCGCTCGAGGGAGTGGGGTGGCTCGGGCTGGCGATGGCCGAAGAGAGCAAGAGTAAAAACATCCGTGTCCCAAGGCCCTGAGCACCGCATTATTCTTATGCGCTCAGTGTCATATTTGGCACCAGGTTAGGAGAGCCTCAATATGACTGGTCCCACCCTCCCCCCTCCCAGTCCCCTTCCTCGCGGGGGCTGAGAACGGGTAGGAAGGGCATGTAACTGGAGTGGATTGGTGCGACGATATCAGGGCACCCTCGCTGTGCCAGTCCTGTTGCGAAGACAGGCGTCAGCATGTATGCCTCCCGCAGCACCATGTCGCACATGAGCTCGCGCCTTCCAGGGAGTGCACCATGGCATGTGACATCGATTCCGCAGCGTTCTTCAGGTGGCTTACGCCATTCCGCCGACCCCAGAAGGAGTCAGAGCTTGCGATGATCGTGGAAGTTCTCTAGTGGCCTTCGGTTAACCCGCCACCGTACCTGGGCTGTGGATTAGGAGACTCTTGGGTGAATCTGAGGGTCTCCAGGGACGCTTCTCAGGTGCCTCTCGGAGGCTCGCACTCCCCCTCTTGAGCTCTCTTGGGGCCTTCTTGGGGCTCTCTTGGGCCGTCTTGAGGGCCCCCTTGGGCCATCTCAGGGCCCTCTTGGGGGGCCCTCTTGGGGGCCCGAAGGGCCGTCTTGTGACGATCATTGGAGTCCCTCGGGCAGTCCGAAGGGAATGGGGAGATGTTTGCCTTTGGGGCCTTCTCGGCGGTCCTCTGGGAACACTTTTAGACTTTTGTGCCGTCTTGGGGGCCTTGTGGGCCGTCTTGAAGTCACCTTGGGTCGTCGTGGGACTATTCTGGGCCGTCCTCGGCGTTCTCTTCGACTGCCTTGGCGCTCTGTCTGGGCCCTCGTGCGCAGTTTTGGGGGCTCCGGAGGCCCGGGGATTTTGACGAGCTCGTACCCCCGCCCCCAGGCCCCCCCCCCCCCCGAACTGGATTTCGGACCCCAGGCGAGGGGGAGCGGGGACAGGGCTCCTTTCGATTCCTCCGATTCGATTCGATTCGATTTCGACGGATTCTGATTCCGATTCGATTCGACATCGGATTCCGATGCTGGATCCGATGTCACCATGGCCTGCTGGCCTGCCGGTGTCCATCGATCCGACTTCTCCCGACTTGGCTGCCGATTTCCGCCGATCCGATTCCTTTCGATCGCCGGTTCGATTTATCGATTCGGTTCTGGGAACTCCTGCGGGGAGGGGGGCAGCTCGACTGCGCGTACGAGTGACCTTTCGCCGGAGTGACTTTTGGTGTGCTCCCACTGGGGTCCCCTGATCGCCGCGCTCGGTGCGAAGGTAGCGTCTTGCGCGCTTGTGTTTGGCCTCTTCGCGCCCCCCAAAGGCCGCGCACCAAAGGTCACTCTTGCCTACTACCCTCGTCAAAATTAACCTCAAAAATGGCGGCCACGCCCCTGCGATGTCGGCGCGCCCTTCAATGTCGATAGACGCCCCTCCAATGTCGGGGCCAGGGCAGCAGTGGTCTGACCGGGAACGGCTCGGAAGTTCGATGATGACCGACATTGGAGGTGCGGCACATACAAGTACCTCGCAGCCAACGCTACTCTGCCCAGTATCTCCCCACAAACAGTTCAGCCACGTGAGGCATTTTTGAGGTTCATTTTGACGAGGGTTGTAGGGTCAATCTTACGCGCAGCCGGACAGCCGTCTCGAGCGCCCTTGGTCACCCCGGGCGGGCAGGGCGGGGGCCGGCGGTTCCAGGAAGGTGTCCTCCTCGAACGACCAGGGGCGAGGCGAAGGTCGCAGCGGTGGTCGGGGTGGGGCGGCGCGCTTGCAGTCGGACCGAGGCATGAGATTCTCGGCTGTGCGCAAGAGTGACCCTGGGCAAGAGTGACCCTTGGTGCGCGGCTTGTTGGGGGCCGCGGAGGGACCAAGCCTGGGCGCGCAAGCAGCAGTTGCTGCTGCTGCTGCTGCTGCTGCTGCTGCTGCTGCTGCTTCGTTTTCAGCCATCTGGGGACCCACCTGCGCCTGCACCAAAGGTCACTCCTGCGAAAGGTCACTCTTACGTCTAGTCGAGGTTCAAGTCGGACATGTCCCTCTACATGAGGAATCTTCATAGATAGTCAGAAAATAGTCAGGGGACGATTTGTTGATGATTATTTTGCCATGTTGCAGCATGTGTTGACTTTTTTGAATGTTTCTTCCAAAATCCGCCTGTAGGGGGGACTTGCCCGACCTAATCTACATAAGATCGAGGTCGGTTCCGGGAGGGTGCCCTCGTGTTCTTCGTGTTTGTTGGATGTTCTTGTGCATCCTGGGGAGGGTACCCTAGGATGTTCTTTGTGTTATGGCCGGCGGAGGGTCTCACGTCTTTGGAGGATGTTGTCTTGGCCTGGGTCCGACTGTGCGTGCGCTCCAGAGGGGGGGATCCAGGGAGCCAAAGAAATCTGCCAGACAGCACGGAGGTAGCCAATACCTCGTGCTTCCAATCTTATCGGCCGTAGACTGGTCTGCTACGCATGGGCATTGGAAGGCGCGGGCGCCACTAGGCTGCGCGACACCAGGTGCCCTGGGGTAGCAGGAGCTCTTGTCGTGGACCGCGGCGCCGCCTGTTAAAGGCGACGGCATGTCGGGTTAAGAATTCGGACGGCAGCAGGTGAACAATTATTACACGCCCGTGTCCGGTTGGCCTAGATTGGCAGCGATCCCAGCCCCAGGTGCATCTTGCCACGTCGCATGCCAGACTAGTGTCTAGAGCGTTCGCTCGTGAGTCCATGTTCTACAACGACGTTACCTCGTACGCATCTCCGCAGCGAACGTGCAGGATCGGAAGTGAGCCGTGACAGATACCTCAGCAGCAGGCCAATGAATGCCAGAGCGAGGTCCTTGCAATCGCAAGGAGGAGGAAGGAGAGGAACAGGGAGGCTTGGAGCGAGGAGGACAAGGACGACGAGTGGAAAAAATAAGCGCACGCCGGCACAGGCTCGAAGAGGGGGAGAGGCGAGAGGGCTTGGCATCTGCTGCTGCAGCGCTCGCGAGCGCTCGTGGTGGTGCCAGGTCATCGGCGTCACCCCAACATACCTATAATACATGTGCGTCGCCCCCCCGTCGTGGTGGGCGCTTTCTGGCCACACCGCTCGGAAAACGATATACTACAGGATGATTGTACTATGTGTTCGGGTCGGACGCGCGCCTCCAAGGAGGACATATAGTATTGGTATGTCTCTGTGCTTCCCAGGCCAGGGGGCCCAGAGGCCGGAGCAACCACAAGGCGGCTCTCAGGGAGGCGCTCGGCGACTGCCACCCCGACACGTGCCCGGAGAGTCCAAAAGGGGCGAGGAGAGGGAGCGGCGGGGCGAGGGGGGAGGAGGAGGAGAAGGAGGAGGGGGGGAGGAGGAGGAGGAGGAGGAGGAGGAGGAGGAGGAGGAGGAGGAGGAGGAGGAGGAGGAGGAGGAGGAGGACAAGACAAGACAAGACAAGACAAGAGCACTTACGAGCCAGTGAGTCACCGTCTTGCTGGAGAGACAGCCTTGAAGGCTTGAAATCAGTTCAACTTATTAGATGTATATGGCTCTGTGATCGCTGTATGAAAGCGCCTACCAGCGGCCCTGCGGGGGGATTCCTCTGGCCTACAGAGGGACCAGGCGGGGGCACGCTGCCCCTCAAAGGCCCTCCAGAGGCACCTTATCCCCTGAGAGCTCTAGATGCGAGTCAAGAGGTCGCAATCCTACAATATATTAACTTTCTGGTGCAGCCTGTGTGGGGTCAGGCACCTGAGGAGGTTGAGGGGGTTCCCGCAAGCAGCGGGAAGGGGGAAGGGGGCTCAAGCGAGGAGAGAGGGAGATCACCACGCATCTGTCGGACCCTAGAGGACCTCTGGAGCAGAGTTACAATAGCTAGACAGGGCTCCACTGGGGCTCCGATCTGATGAAACATGTAAAACTTCCTAGTGCCTGCTGAGTACTCTAATATGGGCTTAGCGGATTTGGCCTGCAGCCTAGCAAGCGCCTCATCAATCAGGAGTCCTTTTTGCAATAGCTCGAGCATTCGCTCGGATCCTGAAATCGAAGTCAGGCGAGCTACTTCTTGTGCACCTGCTTCTGGACGGCCTCGTTCGACAGCCCGATGCGGTTCAGCAGCTTCTCTGCGTCCCTCTCCATTGCGCTTCTCGGCGCAGATCCTGGCTTGAACTGCCCCCCCTGCGCCTCCACCGCCTGCGACAGCGCCTCGTGCAGCGTGAGAAGTTCCTGGTTGTCCTCCTCTCGTAGTACCAGCGTCTGCTGAGCTGGAGCCACCATGAACTGCAGCTTGAACATCTGCGGATCCGAGTGCTGCTTCTTGTCGAAGTGACAAGCTCTCATGCGCAGGAACCTCACGTGCTCTTGTCGTAGCGCTGTCTGTTGCGGTAGCTTCATCACGATGTTCCAATAACGTGTCAATGTCGCCTTTGCTTTGAGTGGGACATCTGCCGCTTCCTTGACCAGGTAGTATAGCAGTCCGAGAAAGATGTGTGGCCACGGCGGGCCCAGTCCGTGATCCTTGCCCT